CCACACTGCCACCCCCACACACCCACCCCACAACACGCGAGCGCACAGAAACAAGGGAAGCAAGCAGGAAACACAGCACAGCACGCCGCACCCACCACACCACACCCGCGCGCCCGCCAGCCGCCCCCCCACCTGCAGCTGCGCAAGGTCCAGCAGAAACTCCTGGTTCTGGCTGGCTGCCTTGGTGACCATGTTGATGAGCAGGTCGGTGACCTTGACCGGGCTGGACGGGTGGCTGCCCATGGCCGACACCACCACCACCTGCTGCTCGCCGCTCTGCCCCTCGCGCGCTGCGTCGCCGCCGCCCACCAGGTAGGTGCAGATGGCCTCGATGCGCTCCGCGGCTGCCACGCAGGTGCCGCCGAACTTGTGGACCTACAAGGCAGGGAAGGCGGGCGGTGGGGAGGGACGGAGGGAGGCGCAGTGCGAGGGTGGGTGGTGGCGGCGGCAGCGGAGGGCTGTGCTGCCGATGGCGAGCCGGCCTTGCTTCAGGCTGCAACCCAGCTGCCGTTGCATGATGCCGTTGCATGATGCCGAGCATGTGGCTGACACGGGGCCATCAGCAGGCAGCGGCGGGGCAGAGCAAGGCAAGGGCAGCGCAAGGGCAGCAGGCGGGCGGCGGTGGCGGGCGCCCCACCTGCCAGTGGGCGCCGCGTGGGAAGGTGGCGGTGGCCTCCAGCTCCGGCGGCTCGGCCACAATAGCCCGCACCCGCTGGCTGGCCACCCGCGCACGCCGGGGGAGGGCCGCCTGCTGCCGGGTGGCAGCCTCCCGAGCGGCTAGGGGCCTGCCACCAATGGCGTGACGGGCGGCTGGCAGTGGGGCGCATGCCGACCTGCTGCACAGCGCCGCCTGCTGACCCGCCACCCGTTGCGACTGCATGCTGCCCAGGGCCGGAGACGAAAGGCCGGAATGCGCAGATGCCCGCAGAAGTGAGGAGACCAAGCGCTGCTTGGGCGAAACCTATCGTGGTTGCAGTAGAGCGGGCGATCGGGTGTGCCCCAGTGTCAGCCAGGGTTCACCCGCCAGCATGGACGCAGCCGCCACGGGGCGCAGCTGCCTTGCGCGGGTCACAGTTGCGCTTTACAGGGAGCAGAGCAAGAGGGTACAGAGGGTAGCGTGACAGAGGTACATGTGTGTATCAACCGAATGAACGAAATGAAGCACGGGGCTGCTCAGATGTTGAGCAGGCCGGCCGTCAAGTCGGCGCCCTGCCCGCCCGCCGCCGGCTGCGCTGCGGGCACCACCGGCGCCGGCCTCTGCAGCTCGGGCTGGAATGCCTGCTTGGCCGCCTCCCGCGCCTCCTCCAGCTGCCGCCGCTGCTCCGCCTCCTTGTGCCGCTGCCGCAGCACCGCCTGCACCCGCGCCTCTTCCTCCTCCAGAGTGGCATGCGGCGGCTGGGGGGTTCCCGCAGGCGTCCAGCCGCGGCTGGGCGCCGCGGCGCCTCCCCAGGTGCTGCCCCCCGCGCTGGATGCCGGCCGCGCGCCCGTGCCAGGCCGGCGCGAGGTGCCGGGCGTGGCGCCGCGGTAGCTGGCTCGCAGCCCCATGTCGGCGCCGGGCTGCTTACGGTGCATGGAGGAGGCGAGACGCTGCGCCGCGGCGGACAGCGGCTTGCCTCGCGGCTGCTGGCCGCCCGCCGTGGCGGGCCGCCCGCCGCGGCTGCCCGTCAGCGGCGCGCCGGTGGCCTGGCGGCGGGCCGCCGCCGCCGCCGCCAGCGCGCCGCTGACCAGCGGCGTGCCGCCCCGCATGCCCTGCTTCTTGCGCAGCGAGGCGCCGGCCCTGTGTGCCAGCTGCTGCGCCGCCTTCTCCTTGCGGGTGCCCTCCTTTATGTAGAAGCTGGGCCCTGCAGGGGGAGGTGGGGCAGAAGGTGGCGGCGGCAGTAAAGTGGGAGGGAGGACTAAGGTCAGCACACAGACAGTGGCGTTCGGCACAACAAGCGGGCCGCTGCAGCAGCTGCGGCAGAGGAAGGCAGGCTGCGACGCGCGGGCGTGCGCGCTGCACGGCAGCCAGGCAGGAACGCGGGGGCGCTGCCGGGTGCAGGGCCGGCGAGCGGCCGGCCGAGGAGCACGCGGCAGCGTGGCAGCACTGCTGGCCGTGGCGTGGCCCCTGCCCGCCCGCACGTCCACAGCCCACCTTCCATCAGCCCGCCTGGGGGCAGGTCCTCGGCCTCGATGCGCATGGGGGTGGCGTCTATGTCTCCCCAGGTCATGAATGGGGTGCCCTCCGCCCCCGGGTCGAACTGGGGGGGGGCCAGGATGCTGTAGCCCCGCGTGCCGCCGCCCGCCGCCGCCGCCGCCGCGCCCGCCGCCGGCCCCGCGGCGCCGCCCGCGGTGCTGGCGCTGGGGGTGGCGGAGGCGGAGGCTGCGGGGTCCTTTGGGAAGCGGGTGGCGGCGTGGTTGATGCTCTTGGCCGGCCCCTGCACCATCGCCGCCAGCTCCGCGCCTGCAGGCAGGCACCAAGCGCACACAGCCAGCCGCCGTCAGCAGGGCGAGCGGGCCGCACAGGGCATGTCGCCGCACCAGGCATGCCGCCGCACAGCGGCCCAGCTCTGTCCCAAGCTGCCGCACGCCCTGCTGCAAGCGTGCATGCTGCTGGGGGCATGCTGACACACGGCTGCACCGCCTGGGATGCAAGGCGCAGCACAGCCAGCATGCCAAGCCCGGGGCGCGCACCAGAGTAGGGCAGCGCCTCCCGCTGGCTGCTGTCGTAGTACAGCGTGTTCTTGGGCTCGTACTTCCAGAGCACCAGAGTGTCGGGCTGCTGCCCCGTGGTGCCAAAGCCGTCGGTGCGCTCCCGACCGTCGGTGATGAGCAGCGTGGGGTCAGGCTGCTGCGCCAGCTGCTCGGCGACGCGCAGCCTGCGGGACAGGGGGCCGGGGGGCGGAGCGGTGGACATGGCGGGTCGGCAGGAGGGGTGGCGGCAGCGGCAGCGGCAGCGGCAGGCTAACCCGGCCGCCTGCTGCGACGGCGGCGCCCCCTGCACCCACCTCCGCTTCTTGTTCACTTGCTCCAGCAGCTCTTGGAAGGACGCGTTGTCCTCTCCGGTGTTGTGCGCCAGGAAAGTGTCGAGGGAGACGGGCGGCGGCACCACCACCCCTGCCCCCTCCTCCTCCTCCTCCTCCTCCTCGACCGCCGCGAGGCTGCCACCGGTGGCGGGCCGCGCCTCACGCAGCGGCATGCCCAGCGGGAGGACGGGGATGTAGGGCGTGTCGCCAGCGATCGCGCGCGCCGCGGTGCCGCCGGGCGTGAAGAGCGGCGCGCCGGCCGGGGTGGCGCCCGCCGCTGCGGCGGCGCGCCGCTGCGCAATCATCAGCTGCGCCTGCCGGATCTGCTCGGGCTGGCCGCTGCGGATGGCCTGCAGCCAGGCAATCTTGCTCTCCAGCTTGGGCAGCTCGGGGAAGAAGTCCCGCTCGATGAGGGCCTCCATCGTGCCGCAATACTCCTCCTCATCCAGCACCTGCAAGCATCAGCATTGGAACGCCCTCAAACATCAGCAGCCGGAGTGCGCCTGCTGATGGCACTGGGCAGGGCGCAAGGTGGAGGCAGCAGCACACCTGCTGGCGCTTGGGCGCCCGCGGCGGCGGCGGCAGCATCAGGCCGCCGCCGCCCGCCGCCAGCTGCCCTGTGGGCTGCCCCGACGCCATGGCGGCGCCGTGCACGGCTTCCCCCGACGTGTGCTAGCCTGGAGGCTGCTCTCCTGGCCGGCTGGCGGGCTGGACTATGCGGCCGCAGGCGGGGCGGCGCCGAGGCGCGGGACTCGGGCGGGCAAGTGTGCTTCAAAGTATGCCTGGCGGGCGCAGAGCGCTTCAGGCCACCGGCAGAGGCCGGCGAGGCTGCTTGGAGCGACCTCTGTTGGAGTTTGGCCTGCCTGGAGGGAGGTTGGCCGGCACACGCTTCTGAAAGAGTCTGGGGGGTTAAATGGGCTTGCAGATAGCCCGTTTCGGCATTCTGCCGAAGCAAACAGCTCAGCATGGACGCCGCGCACAGCAGCACCGTCGCATTCTGCACCCTCGCAGCCCTTTCTGCCACTCCTTCAGCTCAATTGAGCCCCACATGCAGCTTTACCTCCTGCAAGCGGGCGCCCGAGGCTGTCTGCGCCAGGCAGTGGGTTGCCGACTGACTGCAGCTTCCAGCAGGTCGGTGGGGCCGTGAACGCGGGCCCCGAGGGAGCCTACATGGGAAGGTCGTGCGTGGCGATCGATCGCAGGGTTGGGCTGAAGCTGCCCCCGCCGTTGCCGCCGCCCGCCGCTTTGTTTGCAGGCGCTGCGTCGCAACGATGGCAACCAAGGAGCTTTGGGCGGCCCCTGTCTGCCCATATGCGCAGCGTGCCTGGATCAGCGTCACAGAAACAGGTCAGCAGCTGCGCTGCGGTCTTTCCGCTGGCTGCTGCCTGCCGATTTTTGCAGGTCCCCGCCAGACGTGACCTTCCGCTTTCTCTTTCCTCAGAGGCCGTCGTCACCTGGGGCACTCCCACTAACGTGCGTTTCAGGTGCTCCGTTTGAGTACAAGGTTGTGGACTTGCACGACAAGGCCCCCGATTTCGTGGCGCTGTACAGAAGGGTGGTGGCGGATGAGTCGGCGAATGCAAAGGTGCGGCCAGCGCCCTGCTGCCTTGCACCCACTGCTGGGCGCCGCTCCGTCGCCTGCCCGCCACCGCTGCCGTGCTCCGGGTGCAGGTGCCGGTGCTGGTTGATGGGGACCTGGAGATCACCGAGTCGCCGGTGGTGGCAGAGTATGTGCTGCGCACTTATGGAGGCAGCTTGGGTGCGCGCCCAGCAGGGAGGCGCCGGGGCGCAGCTTGCTGCGTGCGCCTGCATGCATGCTTGAGTGGCACGGGCTCTTTCCAAGGCGGGGCTGCCGACAATGTGCCGCACGCCTTCCCCGCGTGCCCGTCCGCCTGCCCGCAGACATCCTGCCAGCCGACCCTGGGGCCATGGCCAAGGCGAAGCTGTGGGCGGAGCTGTTTGGCTCAAACGTCGGCCCCGCACAGGCAAGCCGGCGCAGTGCGCTTCGGTTTCACCATGGTGGTAGCATGGCCCAGGGGTTCTCGCAGGGCAGGCTGGGCAGTTAATTATATCTCTGGGTGTACAGAACTGACCGGCGGCAGCTTCCCACTCCACTGGGCATTGCTGCCGCTCCTGGCATTGCCCTATGCCCTTGTGTGCCGTGCAGGTGGCCATCCTGAAGTCAGACACCAAGGCTAAGCTGGCGGAGGCGGAGCAGCAGATGGCGCGGGCGCTGGCGGTGAGTGACAGCGGGGGTGCCTGTGGTGCGCCGCCGCTGCACGCCGCACGCATCCCTGCACAGGCACACGCAGGCCTGCCCTCATGCGACACACATGAGCATGCCTTTCTCTTGCTCCTCGGTCAAAGGCTCAATGCCCCGCCCCTGCCCCTGCAACTGCTGCAACCAGCAGGTCCTGGACGCCCTCCTGCGCAGCCAGGGCAGCCAGGACGGCGGCGATTACTTCCTGGGCGGGAAGTACAGGTGAGCGGGACGGTGCAGGGCAGAGGACAGCGGGCTGCTGCTGCCTGGCAAGTGGCAGGGTTGTCCCATTCAGCTGCCCCTGACGCTGCCCCTGCCCCCCATCCTGCAGCATTGCCGAGGTGTTGACCACCAGCCTGCTGCAGCGGGCGCTGTCGTACTGACAGGCGTACCGCTCGATTGACCTGTGGCAGCTGGTCAAGGACGGCGGGCTGGTGCGGCTGGAGGCCTGGATGAAGGCGGCGTTGGAGCGGCCCTCTGGTGAGCCAGCTGGCGGCACCTGCGGTTGGTGGCGGGAGCCGTGGAGCGACCAGACGCATGTGCAGCCAAAATCGGCGGGAGCGACCACTGGTAGGCGCGTGTCACCGCACCACCGCCCAGCGCAGTGCTTGTTGTCCCAATGGGGTCCCGCCTGCCGCAGCCAAGGCGACGCGGCCAGATGAGGACACGCTGCTGGCGCACGGCAAGAGGTTCACAGTGCCAATGCAGGAGTGATTGGCAGGGCGCGGCGCAGGCAGCGGCGGCGGTGGCGCACAAGGAGCGGCGGCTTCTGGCAAGCTTGTGTTGTTGTTGCGTTTCATCATTCACCTTCCAGCCTTTAACTGTCCCCGGCACCTGTAGGTGCGCTGCAGCTCCCAGAACGACGCGGAGGCAGCTGCCTGCTGGGCTCGTGCTCCGCTGCCTGCCGCGTTCGCAGCAGTCAAGGCCACCCTTCCTCTTGCGATCCCCCGTTCTCCTTCTCGAGAGCTTTATATCCTGGATCGTTTATAAGTTTCTCGCCATATCGAAGCGCGCCATGAGGCCGGTCGGCCTCGCGCTGTTGCCCCTGCTGCTCTGCATCGGCTGGGCACACGGGTATGAGATCCTCAATCTCAGGAGGTAAGTTCAGCCAGCAATGGGGGTGGTGATCAGTGGCATTTGCTCTTGCACCCTGCATTGCCAGAGAGGCTGACGCGGATAGCCGCCTCTGGCCCTTCCTGCCGCCCCCCCACAACTGTGCTGGGTACACCATGCACATGCGCAACACTGACGCGATCGCGCGGAGCGGCCAGGGAGCCGCGAGTTGCGTTTCCGCCATCCCGCATTCATTTGGAGGCCTGCCCGAATGCTAGCCGGTGCCGCAGGGATTGGAGCCCCTCCTTCTGTTACATAAACGGCGTCAGCGGCAGCCCCTGCACCTCACAGCCCTGGTGCGCCCGGCCTGCCGTCTGGACAGCCTGGTGCCCTGCACGTGCCGTTTTAACCGCCGGCGCACAGGCTGCATGCCCGCCATCCATAATGCCATGGCCCTGCGCCGAGCTCGATGTGTGCTGGATCCCAAACCCCCAACCCTCACCGCCCTCCTCCCTTTCGTGCTGCCTCCGTTTGTTGTGCCTGCAGGGCCGCCTTCACCATCCGCAGCCTCATGCCGGTGGACCTGGTCAACCCCAACGCCACCCGCTGCGCCCCGCTGCCTTACAACGCCACCACCGTGGCCGACATCGCGCCGGAGCTCGACTGCTATGCTCGCTACCCGGCAGGCGCGCGCCCGGCCTAGCCTGGCTGGCATCCACACCCGGCGCCGCGCCCCTGTTGCGTTCCAGCAGGGGAGGTGGCGTGGGGGCCGGGCTGCCGCCGCCATCTGTTCTCCTCGTCGCGCCTGCTCGCCCCGCCGCCTCCCTGTGCTGCCCCCACTCCCTCCCACCCACCCCACCCCGCCCTCATCCCCGCCCCGCCCCCGCCCGCAGGCGCCAGCAGCCTGCTGTGGCAGGACATGTGGGCCAAGTATGGCAGCTGCGCCCAGTTTGGGGGCGGCCAGCGCGACTACTTTGGATACGCGCTGGCGGCGGCCAAGAAGTATGACGTTAACGTGAGCTCCCGCTCGCTGTCGGGATGGGCAGGCAGCTGCTCCCAGCTGCGGCCGCGGCAGCACGCTTCTTTTGGCGGCGGGGTGCATACCGGCTCCCTTTCTTGCGCCACCGTCGCCGCCGACAGCTGCTCGCACCCAGTTTCCGCCGCCGCCGCGTCCCTGCGTGCAGGCGGCGCTGGCCTCCCTGGCCGATAAGTGCGCTGCCGGGCTGGACAGCGCCGAGATCAAGGATGCCTTGAAGACTGCCTGGGGCGTGGACGTGTGGCTCACATGCGACGCAAGGTGCGTGGGAGAGAGAATGCGCCTGCCTGGGGTTGGTGGCGGGCGGCATGCGCCTGCCCGACTTGCTGCCTCCCTCCCTTTGCCCTCCCCCACGCCTGCCCGCCCGCGCCGCCTCCCGACGCCACTCCACCCCGCTGCCCGCCTGCCCCCCTCCGGCCCTTCAGCACCAACAACCTTTGGTCTGTGGAGCTGTGCCTGAATGCCAGCCTGAGCTCCGACCCCACAGCCGTCAGCTGCCCGTCCAACTGGACCCTGGGCGGCCAGCGGGCGGGCGCCGAGTGCCCGCAGGCCACCAAGCTGAAGCTGCCGCCGGGCGTGAAGGTGCGGCAGCGGTTGACAAGTGGGGGGGCCTCGGCAGGCAGGGCGGCAGGTCAAACTCATCACGATGGATGAGGCAGGGCGCAGGGTAGTTTCTAACACATGCATGGGCGGGCTGGCCGTGCCAGTCCGCTGCTTTGCCGGCCCACCTCCTCCTCGAGCCGCTGCTCCCGCTGCTCTGCCATCAGCGGGTGCCAGGCAGTCGCTGCAGGCCCGCAGCCGCTGCTGTTTACCCCACCCCCGCCGCCCCCGCCCGCCTCCCGCCGACCCCGCAGGTGCCCGCCAGCTGCCCCCAGATCTCCCCTCCCTGCCAGTCCGTGCCGTGGCTGCCCTCAGGCACGCGCCCCGCCGTGCGCGCTCGCCGCTGCCTGCCGCCCCAGAGGCGGTTCCGTGTGCAAGATGTGGTGCCATCCCCGCAACGCAGCCGCCGCGCCGGGCCGGCTGCCCTGCCACGCGCACCCGCTCCATGCACCCCTCCCCTTGCCCGTCCCTGGCTGCCCACCCCCCTGATCCCCTGCCCTGCCCGCAGCCTGCAACCGCATCACGGTGCTGCAGCGCCAGACCCATGTCAAGTCGTTGCCGGTAGGGAGGGGAGGAGGGCCTTGGGGAGCAGGGCTTTGGGAGGGAGGGTCGGGGGCAGCGGCGCGCGCCTGGCTGCCTCCGCCGGCCGCCGCTCGCAGCCCACCCCACCGCATACCCACTTCCCAGCGGCCTCCATCCCACTTCCTCCTTCCTTGCTTCCCCTCCTTTCCTCCCTTCCTTTCCTCCCCTTGCAGTCCCAGTTCTGTGTGGAGTGGGACAGCGTCAGCTGGCTGAACCCCACGGTGGCCCGTAACGTGACCCAGCTGGCGGCGGGGCGCACCGTGTGCCTGCGTAACGGCGCCACCCCCGCAGACATGGTGGTGCTGCAGGCGGAGAGCCGTGAGTGATGGTTTGCCTGG